TGTTCATCATCATCGTACTGTAATGCTAAATCACCGTCATACATACTGTTGTACTCTCATAAAATTGCGTTCGAGATTTTCGAATGATGGAACTATCGATGCTCAGTTCTGTTGAAGATCTCTCGCTTTCTCTGTCTCATGGTATATTGAAATTTTCTGAAGAGTGTTAATGTCAAGATTGAATTTTTCGCTCATTAAAATTAGTGATTTTTTTACGGAAAACTATATGAAGCTATCAATAATCTAACATGATGAACTATAGGCAGTATTGTATTGCCTGAAAACATTTGAAGTGGTTCAGCTGTGGTAGTGGTAAGAAATGTATACGACTTAACGAGGTTCAGTGAACCGAAACATTTCTCTCCAGTTTGTTAACTTTTCAAGGATAATTTTTCCCCTAATCATTTCCTATTTTATCATTTTTTCAATTTTAATTTAAGATTTAAAACAAAGCATATTAAAAGCACTCGGATTATTCCGAGTTAGTGCTTTTACTGAGGCTGAAACTGTCCCAGGCCCCGCCGTTCTGAAGCCCCCTACCGTTATCCTGTGTAATTGTTGCTGTAGGAATTGATAATTCATTGGAAGATTTCTGCTGTACTCTTATGTACTTTTTGTTTCTCATTGTCGCAGAGTTTGCGTGCATTCTCATTGTAGTATTTATTAAGCTTGCATTATTCGTTCATTGATCATTGGGTAATTGCATTGTAAAAAATGTACTAATTTTTGTGTGTGTGTTTTTTTTAAAATTATTTTTGTCTATTTAATTGTAATGTTTATTTTTTCCAAAAAAAAAAAAATTCCCAGAAAAATTTTTTTTGCAAGCAAAAAATAACATGCAGTTGATCTTGTGCAGCAGGGGGAAAATAGCCACAGCTTGTGATGCGCCCGTCCTGAGCGGCGACGGTCATAGAAAACGATCCTGAATAGGGGTGATCCTGGTGGGCTGGAGCATTCATTGCTTGATCATTTCGGTTCTCAAATGTCATGTGTGAGAGGTGAGTCAGCCTTTTAATATTACAATAAAACAACGTGGAAAACTCCCCACCTAAAGTACTGGAAAATTTGGAATGCCACTAAAATGCTAATGAAAATAATCAAAATGACAGGGTTCTGGGAAAGCTATTAACGCCATCTTATCGAATAATTCTGGGAAAGCTGTCAGCTCCATCTTGTCGAAATCTCCAGGCAGAATGTTTTTAGGTTTCGGGAGATTTTCCGTTCTATAATAAATATTTCTCGTTTTCCCAACGAATGATGCTAGGCCTAGTTTTTGGTCTGGACTACGTTCTTTTAAATTTCCTAGTTGTATGATGTTCTTAGAAAAAGAGCACAGGAACTGTCGAGTTTCATCAAAAACTCCCGCATCGAGGATGGGGTTCTTCCCCATGACATTTTTTCTCTTGACGTGGATATTTAGCAATAATTTGTTGCCCCCGACTCGCTACTGATTTTAACGGACTTTTGATGAATTTTATCATCTGCTTAGTTGAATTTTACGCTCTGACTGAGTATTGTGGCTTTGTAGCTAATTTTACTAACATTTTTTCCTCCTTGTACAAGAAGTTTTGATGCAGCATTTACTCCACTGTCTTTTTTACCCGATCTGTATCCAGCCACTATTCTGTCTGTGTTTACAGCTAAGGGATGAAACAAAAATGTATCTTTATGTAACATATGCCGAATGTTCCATCCACATTAGCCTATTATTTTGGACAAGATGAGAAAAAAGCATGGGTGTTACTTCAAGAAAATCCAAACTTTGACCGCTGGTTCCATAATGGTGTATCGTAAAGCTGGCCTGGTTGTGGCCAGTTCTCAACCGTGAAATTGAATTAATGCATTATTAAATTGGTGACAGAACCGTTTATAGCAGTTGAAGTGCATTTGGAAATTTCCTTGAGGTTTTTCCCTCATTCTTCCTCTTCGCCTCCTTCCACCTCAGCTTTACTCTCCTACCTTGCTGGGCCCAACAAATTGCATGATCGATACGAATGTAAGGGGTTTGTATTATTTTGGAGATCTATTAAGGCCCAGTTAGAACTTCCTGTCATGCAAAGGCCGACGACATTCATCCGGAATTTATGCTTCATCGTTTAGCCAAGGAACCTTTTGCGAGGCCCCACTTCAATTATCTGGCCTGCACTGGCTTGTTTGGCTAGCAGCTTCCCGGATTTTGATTGCTTTTCTCTGCATCCTGGAAAAATGGCATACAACACGAGACCTGGCGTAAGGGAACATCTGCATAACATTACTAACATGGGATACCCATATGCTGATAGCTCGGGCGGTTTTAATTTTGTTGATATTGGTGGGATAGTGATAGGGCAGAGTTTCTTAGATTTTTTAGGATTTTCATTAATCATGTGTAATAGCTTTAATCGCACAGTTAAGTCCATGCAATTCGAAACACTATGCGGGAAGAGTTTTTGTCTCTTCGTGATGCGGCCGGGATACTAAAAATTTATCTATTTTTAAAAGTTTTTTGGAGAATGAACTTCCATAATTACAATGACAATCAGCTGTTAGTAAGAGGCGTAACTGCATCGACAGTAAGGATGAATCGAATTGCTTTAGTTTTTGTAGGAATTCTCCGCGATTTTTGCGATCTTGTATACCTTCTTTGTCTTCTGGATCTTCTATACCTTCTTTGTCTTCTGGATTCACAAAAAGCGTAGGTAGGAGTGAGTAGAGTTTTTCTTTGCTCTCTGGAGATAACCCACCTTATAATCTACTTTTTTTGAAGTTATAACGTTGGCTGGTTTATTTTCTGAGTCCATAGACTGGGACATGGAATGTTCTGCCTCCTGTTAATTCTTCATTTCTTTGTTACCGCGAGGAATTAAATGTCCTTAGTTTTGGTGTGGAAGTAGTTTTTTCTCTTCTTGTCGAAAAAAGAAGATATAATAGGTCAAAGGTACTTTTATATTTGAATCTCTACTTAAGATTATAGTTTGGTAGCCAGATACATTATATCCAACGTCCTAATTATTCTGGCAGACAAAACTTTTAAGTTTTCTTATTTTGTGCGAGGAAATATGCATAGGTTTCTGCTTTTATTATTTTTTTTTTTTTTTTGCCGTCTCCAAGCTTTACTTCCGGCTGTTTCTAAATGATTTTATTGCTGCAATCCGTCAAAGTTGTCCATTCTAATAAGAGGCAGACACGCTCAAATGGG